AGATCTGTGCTGCTCGAGCCACGAACTGTTTCAGACGATTCAGTCCGATTTGATGAACTGGTTGAACAATTGGTTCAAAAGAATGATTCGTTGATGAACTGGACATCACTCCTGACATCACTGTTTGCCTGAGGCTCTGGATTACAGGTAATAATGTTCCGTTTCTTGCACAGACCGTTTATTTCGCTTTATAAGACCTCAATATATCATCAGGAGCCAGGAGTATTAATTTTGTGTTCCTTGATATGCTTGATTTATTCTCAAAGACAGGTAGCCGCTGACTTGCATTTTATGAATCACTATGGACTACGGTTTCAGCTAAAAATCTTCTTTACTCTTCGACTGAAGGAAAAAGTCACCTACATCTTGGATGGCCTGAGGGTGAAATTTCATTTTTGGGTGAACTATCCTTTTAATAAATGCTATAATATAGAATAATACAAACATAACACTGGCATATAGCAGCACCCTGGAATGCATCATGGATGTGAGTTTTGCACAAACAAGTAAATTTTCTTCAGAAAATTGCTAGTTTATTGCTGTTGTCAAGATCCACCTGAAGGCACATGGTGGATCAAGCTGGTGGATCAGCCCAGTTCAGTCCTGAATCGCAACAGCTCACATCCTCTGACCACAACATGCTCTCCAAAACCCTTCAGACGTCCTGATGCTACTTGCAAGCAAACAGGAAACTTGTTTTGGACCCAGAAACCCAATATGATTTGACAACAACAGTCTAATGCAACTCGACTTTCTTCAAACTGGCATTTCTGGACTGGTTTGCTAGATTTCTATCAGACGGAGGAAGAGGCCAAGAGAGAAGTGTGGGTGTTTGTCATAAAGTATCATTACAGAACACTACAGTAATTAGATTCGGGCTACGCAGAGCTTTAAATGACATTTGCGTGTTACACAACTGTACCAAACACTTTTTGTGCTGCTGTTGTAATGATGAGAGTGAATCATATCATATAACCTTGAAATGGAAAAGGTTCAACTCATTCGCTGGAGCCTCTTGATTAGTCGCTTTGTGGAGAGCAGTGAGAAATAAAGCTGGATGGAGCTGGAAACACCTGTACGCAAGCACTTCCTACATAGCCACCAGAGCAGATTCTGAGCACATTAAAGGTCATGAAGTCTACATTGGTCTGCATTTCAGGAAAAATCAGATCCTACCTGCATTTACATGGTTTCTAACTGGTCCAGGCTGGTCTTTAGTTCTGTTCATTACCTGGTAAGAATGGTTGAGCAAAAATACAGGTTTCAAAATGCTAGATAAATGTAGCATTGTATAATTACAGTAATTATATTTTTGTCACATAACAATGAGAATTTAGTGCAGAAATGTGCTGCTTTTGTTTAGATTTTGGGGTGAAAAAACAAAACAAAACAAAACATTTCTCACATTACAGTGGCCAGTCTGTCCATAAGCTTCTTCACAAAATGACAAAAATCTACAATTTCCACTGGAATAAAAAAAACAAATCTATGGATCATGCATCATACAGATAAATGTATCAATGTGCAATTACAGTAATGACGTTTTTTGTCACATAACATTAATGAGAATTTAGTGCAGAAATGTGCTCCAGTTTTCTGCAGGTTTTGAAAATAAAATAAAATAACTCATTACAGTGGCCAGTCTGTCCACAAGCTTCTTAACAAAACCAACAGTGTTCAACATTGATAATAATCTGAAATGTGTCTTGAGCAGCAAATCAGCATATTAGAATGATTTCTGAAGATCATGTGACACTGAAGACTGGAGGAATGATGCTGGAAATTCAGCTTTGATCACAGCAATAAATTACATTTTTAAAACATATTCAAATATAAAACATTTAAAATTCTAAAAATTTTTCAGAATATTTCTGCATTTTCCATCAAATAAATGCATCCTTGATGAGCATAAGAGAAGTCTTTCAAAAACGTTTAACTTTTGAACAGTAGTATGAAAAAAACAACAATTGCGATCCAAAGAAAGCTTCACTATGTGTTAGTTAAAGCCCAAAAAGCCTCCATATGTTTCCTTAAAACACTGTCTAGATTGGCAGCTCACCAGGTTTTGGAACAGAGCTACAGGCCTTCATAAGACACACGACTGCACCGACTGCATCACTGCATGACAACTGAATTAATCATCAGAGTTCACACTGTAAAGCAGTGACTGATCGTCCCTGTGTCACTGTACAATCCGCATGGCCGCAGCAAAAGGGATCGCGCTGACAAATCGCACAATAAGCTCTTATCTTTGAAAGACTTACCCACAGCCCTTCTCAGAGCTGCATCCTCTGTCTATCGCTGCCATCCTCAAATTTATCACCCTGTTGATAAGCATCAAATGCTGCTTCACAGAGGAAGGTCAAGTGATTAAAAGACAAACAATCACTAAAACTAGATTTTTTGCATTTTATAAGCAAAAACAATGATCACTGGAATGACGCTAGGATGGTTGCCAGGGTGTTGCTTTGCAGTTGCAATGAGTTCTAATCGCTATTTTGTTGCTAGGGTTAAATATATTTTAAATATACAAATATATTTTTAACCAAAACAAATGCACATAGACTAGTCCAACTTAACTGAGTGAAATTTAAAATGTAAGAGCTGTATGAGCAGTAGGAGGGGAGCAACAAACCTCTGTTAAGTCCCCTGAGCGAAAAGCCATAATTATTACAGTGACAGCGATGAAGAATTATGTTATGCCGACCTAATAGATGAAATTACAGCGCACTAAAAGTCACACATCAGTGAACACTAGCTCAGCAACAGGTCAGGACTCTCTACTGGAGTCCATCAAGTCACTAAAAGACACAAATGAAATAAAATGTAGCAAAACAAAATAAGAAATTTGTTATGCTAAAATGCTAAAAGTCCAAACGAAAGTTCCAGCTGTACTAAAATGCATAGTCTGTATTTATTTACTTAAAGAAACAAAGTATTAACTTTCATATATATATATATATAAACAGTCATTTTCAATTGTGATAATTTCATATATACTGTGCAAAATTACATATATAATGTTTTTAAAAAATATAAAAAAATTTATAAAAAATAATTGGATGATTATTAAATTATTAATAAAACTTATGTACTATATATATATATATATAAACAGTCATTTTCAATTGTGATAATTTCATATATACTGTGCAAAATTACATATATAATGTTTTTAAAAAATATAAAAAAATTTATAAAAAATAATTGGATGATTATTAAATTATTAATAAAACTTATGTACTATATATATATATATATAAACAGTCATTTTCAATTGTGATAATTTCATATATACTGTGCAAAATTACATATATAATGTTTTTAAAAAATATAAAAAAATTTATAAAAAATAATTGGATGATTATTAAATTATTAATAAAACTTATGTACTATATATATATATATATACATATAATTATTTTTTTTTCTATCAGCATGTACACTCTTCTATATACCGGTAAATTTTTTGTCCATCAAGCCTGGAACAAAGTCTCTTGCAAATAATTAACAGAGCGGCATCCCATGAATATGCCTGAGCGGATGACGCAGATGCATCTGGAGGACGGATGCCTTTCATCTTAGCGTTGTGGGACAGGGAGATGCTCACCTAAATCTCCTGATAATCCGCCTCAGCTTGTAATGAAAGGGATAAATCAGGACCCTGGACAGCGCCAGGCAGGACTGACTGATATTGCGGCTGCCTGGCTGGATTCAGCACCATGGACAGCTCCGCATCCACACGCCTGGATCGGACTCTGGGTTTGGGTTTATAGGGCATTATACGGACCTAAAAGGTACAAATCTGTGGCAGCAAGAGCAGAAACACTGTAGGGAGATCCAACACTATAGAGGATGAAAAACAGAAAACCATGTAGGGAAATGATATTAAACACAGTCCCCTAATCTGATTTGTGCCACATAACTGTGTGTGTGATGTATGTGCTGTGTGAAAAACTGCCTTCTGATAGGATCAAAGAGTCTAAACACACACTGAACAGCTGCTGATGCCTGTTAAACACACTGATCAGAAAACCATGTCTGATGAAAAGTAATTGAATGACATTTCATTGTCCAAGGATGGGAGCAGCAAGCGTCAGACAAACTGAGCGAAGAACCACAATGATATGGTTACAGTAATGGAGATTTATGCAATGTTGACCTGATAGATGAGATTATACAATCACGGAACTCTTCTACTGGAGTGACATGAAGGAAAAATTAAATGACATTTAAAAAAATTAAAATAAATAACATTAAATAAAAATGAAAAAATAAAGAAATAAAAAGAAAAGTAATAGAATTAATGAAAATGTAAATAAAGGAAAAATTAAAAATTATGAAAATTTAAATAAAAAATATAAATATAAATTAAATGAAATAAAAATGAAAATAAAAATTAAAAGAAATCAAAATGAAAAGTATAATAAACAAATAATAATAAAATCAGATCTTATAATAATAAGATCATTAATAATAATGATAATAAAATAAGTATTATTATTATTATTATTATTATATAAAAAAATTCAATAAAACTAATTTTTGTACAGACCATTAACAGCACTAAAGTGGTGCCACATAAACAGCCACCACTTTAAATTCTACCTTATAGGATCAGGTTAAAAACAGAGAGACAGGTTAAAATATTATGACAGCATCTACGTCTCTACCAGAAGAGTTATGACTGTTTATGACAGCAGTAAGAGGTTCCCCTTCCACCGCAGCTTTCTGCATTTGTGTACCATGCAAAGCCACACAAAGGCACACGGTGCGGCTCGCTACATGAACCCACACAACTATAAGCACCTATTACTATTCCACTCACAGCAGCCATGCAGTAAGGCAGGGGAGGACCTGTGGTGGGCAGCAACAGCAGAACCCACGGCTCGAACCCTCCCTCCCTCCCTCCATCCATACTGACCATTCCTGTGTCAGCGTGAGTGGGTGTGTGCAAGCGATCGAGCGCGGATGAGAACGCGAGAGATTCCTCCACTCACCCTGGCTGTTGGCGGCTCCCTCTGCCTCCTCGCATTCAGTCAGGTTGTTGACCATCCTGTCGCTCCGAATGCCCTCGCTCCCCCAAAACTCACCTCCACTCAGGGGAGAAAAGCAGAAGAACGGCCAAACTAGGAGATGTGCGCGAAAGAGATGGAGTGATTTGCGCACCTGCCGAGAGCCCAGAGGAAATTGCCAGCGGATGGAACGAGAGATGCACGTTTTTTCTCCTCCGATTCTCTTCTTCTCGCACTCTCCTCTCCTCTCTTGGCTGCAGCGTGACTCCCTCTCTCACTCTCTCTCTTTTGTAGGAGGAGGGTACGACAGCTCAGAGCGGCTGGAGTTTACTGGATGATGGAAAACTATCTCTCTCCCACTCGCTCTCTCATGCACATGGGTATCCATGCACACATGCTCTCGTAGCGGTAAATAAAAAATAATAATAACAAATAAATATGAAATATTTTAGTAAATAAAATATTGTATAATTAAATAAATATATAATAATATTTAATAATATTAAAACTATAATTATAATAATTATAAAATAATATAATAATTAAAATGTAAAAAGTATCTTGTTTTAGTAAGTGAAAATATCTAGGCATCCTGAAAACAAAAGCTTTACTTTAAAATGTTGTTGCTTAGGTGATCTGAGTGATTAAAGCATGTTGCTGTGGGGTTGCTAAGGTGCTCTGGGAGATTTAAGCACATTGTTATGGGGTTGCTAAGGTGCTCTGAATGATTTAAAGGGGTCATATGACGTTGCTAAAAAGAACATTATGTTGTGTATTTGGTGTAATGTAATGTGTTTATGTGGTTTAAGGTTAAAAAAACACATTATTTTCCACATAATGTACATTATTGTTGCTCCTCTATGCCCCGCCTTTCTGAAACGTGTCGATTTTTACAAAGCTCTTCGGTCTGAAAAGCGAGTTGTACGCTGATTGGCCAGCTATCCAGTGCATTGTGATTGGCTGAATACCTCAAGCGTGTGACGGAAATGTTATGCCCCTTACCATACTGTGATGCTGTGTCCCGGCGCGACAAGACAAAAAAAATAAAACCCATTAACAACGAGGCATTTGTTGCATTCAGTGGGAACATAATTACTGATTATAATGACTTATACTGTCTTTTTACGCGTTGCGTATCGCGCTGCATAAACATAAAACCATGTCTGGAGAAACAACAAGCGCTACTCTACACTGTGGCCTAGAGTGAGGAACGACTGACAGGTTAGAGTGAGCGGCGGCCTAGAGTGAGGAACGGCTGGCGGGCTTGAGAACGGCGCGGCCGGCGGGCTTGTGGCAACCACATGTGACGAGCCCGGGCTGGACTCCGCTTTGTCCACGGTGAAAGCCGATCCGGCGATCCACAGCGCAAAGTTGATGTATTTCCTCAGCGACCAGCACGGATCAGCTCTAGGCATGACAAAGCGGATATCATCCTATTTTGGAAGGCCAAACAAAGTAGTTTCGCTTTCACAACGAAACACACAGCATCTCCACAACATGGCAGCGGCGGCAACAGCGAGAATAAAAGTTACGCCTTCTTTCTTTGCGTGAACATTTGGGCTTGAGGAATTCTAAGTGATTAAAGCGTGTTGCTATGTGATTGTTAAGGTGCTCTGGGTGACTTAAGCACGTTGTTATGGTGTTGCTAAGGTGCTCTGAATGACTTAAGTACATAGTTATGGTGTTGTTGAGGTACTCTAAGTGATTAAAGCATAATGCAGTGTGGTTGTTAAGGTGCTCTGAGCGATTTAAGAATGCTGCTATGCAGTTGCTAGGGTGCTTTGAGTGGTTTTGAACAGTCAAGTCTCTGTGATATACTGATATCTAGATACGGTTTGCGTCCTTCTTTCATTGGTGGAAGTTTTTTTCGTGTTAATGGTAAATGCACACTCCTCTCCTCATTTACCTGCTATAGGCTAGACAAAATCCTCTTTCAGTCATTCATGTCACCAAATAAATGCATTCTGTGCCTGCAAATTTGTTTTGTAAAACACAATCGATGTGATCAGCGGCTCACATCACTGGAGGCTCAAAGCAAATGGAGATGGGAAAGAATAGAGTGGAAAACAGAGATAGAAGGGAAAATGGAAGGGACACGGATGCAAGCTGGAGTCTTTTATCCAAATGCTCCATTCAGATTCTCGTGTGGATCGTCCAGCCGAAAAACAGATGCACAGTTCAGAAGCAAATTCCAGGTAGCCTGCAGTTACACAAAATCTATTAGGTGACCGAATTACGCGGTACGGAAGATGGCGAGAGAAAGAAAAAGGCAGTTCGCCACCAGTCACAAAAACAATCCACGTGCTTCTGAAAGACATTAATGCGTCTACATGAGAAACGGATGCCGCCAGTGCAGACGCAGGGGATTATTTACAATTGCCACACACACACACACACACACACACACACACACACACACACACACACACACTCCAGTCCTCACAAATGATTTCTACAATGAATCTACAGGGATCTCGAAAGCTCAGCAGCTCTTATTCTGAAGCGATCTCATTCGTCTCATATATCTGTGTATATGTTAGGTCCCAATGCAACTGAAGTGAGAAAGAGATAACTGAAGCGGTAACAAGATCACCTGGCTTGTTAATCTCAGGTGATTTCAGTTGAGTCACCACTGTAATTTGCTTTTGAAAAATTTTTCTACAGCAGGTAATGGATCATTATTCATGATGGCTGCTTATTTTTATTTAAGATTGTGTCAAATCAGACTAACAAATTAGTCTTTAATGAATCGGCCTAAAACTCTGAATCAATTATGAATCAGTGAATCAGTTATTGAATCAATTAGACCCACTCAAAGAGTAGCTCGATCATATCAGACATTAGCAAATATTTATCTTACACTGTAACTTTTTGAGCAATAAAAATCATTATGTTAAATATACAGTATATATATATATATATATATATATATATATAGCTCAAGGCTGCTGAAAGGGTGTGGTGCAAATCCAAAAATCCTACTGACCTTAATGTGTATCAGTCTCTCCTCTCTTCCTTCTCTGCTAATGTCGCCACTGCTAAAAGGACATACTACCATAACAAAATTAACAATTCGTCTAACTCTTGCATGCTCTTTAAAACATTTTCCTGGCTCCTTTGTCCTCCTCCTCCCCCTCCTGCATCAACTCTAATAGCTGACGACTTTGCCACGTTTTTCATTAATAAAATTAAAAACATCAGTGCACAATTTTCCACACCACAATCTGTCAAGCACATCTTACCAGCAAACTGTAACGAGTCAGTCCACTGAAGGCGAGCGTAGTGAGAACCCAAGTGCAGTGTTATTTACAGTGTGATCCAAACAATAATCCAAACAAGATACACAGACTTGACGAGGCATGAACAGACAAGACTCACCGACAGCGGGTTACAACATCAAAACACGACAAGGGCACAATGGGAACATGAAGGCTACTTATAGCAGACAAGGAGGGTCACATGACATGAACAAACCAATGGGGAACAAGACACATGACTAAGACTACCAATCAGAACATGACACATACACAAGGCAGAGAGACATGAGGCAAGGGAAGCATGACACTAACATCAGGAAACAATTACAAAATAAAAGACATGGACATGAACATGAAACAAAAACAAAACCCAAAACCCACATTACATATCCCCCCCTCTAAGGGCGGCTTCAGACGCCCAAACAAAACCCAAAAAGTCCAGGAGGGTGGTGGAGTGGAGGTGGAACTGGGGGAGGGATGGAGGGCCAGGCCCATGAAGCGGAACAGGCAGAGCAAGGAGCTATGGCGGAGCAGGCAGAGCGGGGGGCCATGGTGGAGCAGGCAGAACAGGTGGCCATGGCGGGGCACGCAGAACAGGTGGCCATGGCGGGGCCCAGGCCACAGCCATAATAGCGGCCCACAGTGGAGCCGACGGAGGGAGGAGCCATGGAGGAGGAATGTCCACCGACTCCAGGGAGCCGACCAAAGGCGGCGGAGCAGGTGGTGGAGTAGCCCGAGGCGGAGACGGAGAGCCAATGAGCCAGGGGGATGCCAAGGATCCAGGGGGCCAGGGTGGAGCCGAGGGCTCTGGCGACCAAGGCGGAGATCCGGAGATCCAAGGCGGAGCCGGAGCGACTGAGGACCAATGTGGAGCTGGCGGAAGGAAGGAGCCCAACGGAGCCGGTGGGACAGAGCGACTAGGTGCAACCAGAGGAGTGGAGTCCAGAGGCGATGGCGTGTCGACACCCGACCAAGGCGGAGCTGGAGGGACGAGGGAGTCCGGTGGAGCTGATGGATTGATGGGTGACGGTGGAGGCGAGGGAGCTCCAGACGACAGCGGTGGCGGAGGAGCGGCCACTGGGGCAGATTCATGGACAGGAAAGGCCCTTGGTACAGACTCATGGATAGGAAAGGCCTCAGGGAAAGACTCATAGGCAGGAGAGGTCACTGGGGCAGATTCATAGACAGGAGAGACCTCAGACGCAGACTCGTGGACAGCAGAGGACTCTGGAGCACAGTGTGCAGCCCACACGCTCAAAATGGCGACCGCCATTACCGGAAGGGCAGCAGAGTGTGGCAGGACCTCTAAGACAGCGGGGCTTGAGAGCGCTGACGTCACCGGGATGCCTGCAGCTTGCACCGACATCAGAGGTGGGTCCATCATACTAGCAATCAGTCTTTTTAGTATTGGCCCAAGCTCTGCGTCCGACTCGGGCGTGGCAGCCATCTTGGACCGGGGACTCAGGCGTGGCGGCCATCTTGGCCGGGGACTCAGGCATGGCGGCCATCTTGGCCGGGGACTCAGGCTTAACATGAGCAGACTCTGAAATGGCGGCCATGTCATGACGAAACTCTGGAAGATCAGCTGAGACATGATGAGACTCTAGAAGGGCGGCCATTTTGTG